ACACACACACACACACACACGCGGGTAAAGATATGTCGTAGGGCGAGACGGGAAAGATCTTTCACCCCTACTATAGTGCTACTAATTTTCCGACGCGCTGACCTATGTTTACGTAGCTGTCAGGGGCATGTAATCGCTATGATCGAGAAGAGGTTAGAATGCGAAAAACCCGTCGCGTAGATTTTTGAGATGTCGTCGGCGAAAGCTGTTGGTTAACTCACCCGAAATAACAGGTTTGTCGGCGATAATGGATACGACAGAACTTCCAGCGACAGCCCGCGAAATTAAACACCCACAAAAAGAATTCTGTAACCGCATGCTAGTGTCGAAACGTGCAAGCTATTGAGAAAGGGACGTAAAAAAATCCACCTCTTCATTCGGTAAGCGATCATCGATGGATCGTATATCCATCAAGTAAACCAGCGAGGAGATGATCTTAGTGCCGCAGCAAACAGTCGGCTGCACAGTACCTGTCGTTCAGATCCTCGTGTCGCGGCCATTCCCTCTTGAGTATTTTACGAGAGCCAAAAAGTCAAGGAACCTTTTAGGTCGGTTCCGTCTTCTGTCAGATGCACCGAGTGGCTGCGCCTGCATTCCTCGTCACCGCGCTGCCGCCTGGCACTGTAACCGGTCGATTCAAGACGCTATTTACAGTTTACTTGTAAAGTTAACCTGTCAACAGACGAGCTGTTTGGGAACCACTTGGTTCATTCAGTGGCCCGGCTCTTTGTTACGTCGCTGTAATGACGCCGCGAGGCGTGTTTACGTTCGGCGGCTGTTCCTGTAGCGCATCCGCTACCTACACGAATGTACGCGGCCTCGGGTAGACCGAATATTACCGCTAATATAACACCAGAAGTAGATAATAGGGGATTCTTTATTATCTACTTCTGATAACACTTAACGGAAGCAAGCGATCGGGCGCTCTCGTCTAGAAGTATATATGCAGTTTTATGCGGATGCACATAGTCATAAAACACGCGCTGGCTGAAGGGTAAAGCTCTTTTCAAAACCATGCCGCGTATAATAGCTGTTCTTCATGATGTCGGGAAGCCTCTACACGGGGTAAAACGATGGCGGTTATAGGCAGCGGTTATGTGTAGCTGGCATAAGTGCACGGTGATTATTTATAACCTTAGCACATTCACGTGCCACGTATAGCCCCCCCTATATAAGCGCTACATGCACATATCCGTGAGATAATGCACGTAGAACGCATACGGTGCACGCATGCATATGCGTATATAATAGGTGCACGCACACGTGGGGGTCTGTTACATTCACGCGGTCCTCTAATGAATGTACCACTAATAGTACGAGTTATTCTGCTGTCCGAGTTGAATAGACAACAGCGGACGCGTTCTACAGTTTTGGGGGCATTGTTGCCATGACAATGGCGGCACCGGCATCCGTCGCACGTGACTTTCACTAGCACTGCCAACCTGTCGGCGCATTCAGTGATCACGGCTCTTAGAAGTAAGCAGAAGATATCGAATACGACAGGTGTGCGGAGGTTAATCCCAGCAAGCACATATGCCACGCTTAGTACCTCGCTAGTCTTACCATCCAAGTGCATTACACTCTTAGCCTTCACCTCCATAGTTTCCGCACGCAGGTATACGTGTCAGTGTTAATTAGTACCTTAATAGCATGTTAATGGTACCCTCTGTCGGGTAAACACATACCACACGCGTAATGCCTCCAGTGATGACCTCTGTAACCTGTTAATTGGCGATGCAGGGAAGCATATACACGTGAACAGTAGGAACGCATTTCTGCATAATTGTTATTGCAATATATCTGCTGTATCAATCATAGTCGCCATCAATCATCGCTTTCGGCATTTCTATAATCCGCTAATTTGAATTTGAATAGAAGAAAATTCTGCTCGGATAACATCTTGATCTATACGGAGCCACCGGGGTCATGACATTTATTAGCCTGCGGGTATAAAATCTCTCTCTCTCTCTCTCTCTCTCTCTCTCTATATATATATATATATATATGTATACGATTATAAAAGTCAACGCCTAGTTCCACGCTACATTGTATTTCTGCGTTTAGTACTAGTTTGGCTAGCCCGTAGTGTATACGCACCCTTCCCAACCCGCCGGCCTGCGCGGCGTCGATAAGGGAAGTGACCCCTAAATCTTTAGGATTTAGGAAAGGAATTGAAGGAAAGGAATTGAAAAGAAAGAAGAAAAAGAAAAAAAAGAAAAAAAAAGCGAATTTGAAGGAAAGGAATTTAGGAAAGGAACCCCTAAATCTTTCTAAGGGAACCCTTTGAAACGCTGGATTATAATCGTATCGTTTCTGAGTCACTCATGTGCTTTACGGTCAAAGGCATGCCGCCCCGTGTAAGCGGCTGTGTTAACCACAGACACCCTCTTTTTCTTTACGTATGGGACGTACGAAAATTTCACGCAAAGTTCGGCAAATATGAAAGAAGGCCTCGCCCAACTGGTCGATGACTCTACTTAGGTGCGTTTCCTATAGTGATGGATATTCTATAGGCAGGTGTGCTCGACGGTGTTTCCCAGTGATCAGGATAACGACGTGACTAAGGCGTGACCAACGAAACAGATTATAATTGCAGTCGCATGCGCAATACTATGTAAACATCCCGCATTTTCACATTTCCACATTCAGAACCCGTACCTGCAATGTATCGGAGGAAGACAGGTTATGCACCGAGTGTGCATATACTAACCGCATGCTCCCGTCGGGACAGGTTGATAATATATGCACGCCGCCCCTCGTTTTTAGTTTCATCGTTGCTGGGAGAATACTATACTAGTTAGGTGAGGTCCTATATACGTCAAGTTAAAATATGCCAGACTAAAGTAATTTACCTTGTTTCACTAAAAGCATTCTAATTTAAGAATTTTAATATTGCGGGATGTATTTTCCCTGCCGATCCCGTTTAAGTGGAGTGACCTTGGCTACACCTAAAATTCCAAAGCATGAAAAAAACAAATGCGCTAGAGGCGATAGCTGCTTTGGTGGCAAGGATGCCCCAAGTTAGGGAGTGATTATCTCAAGATTACTAGCTGTGTGTGGGGCATTCCGCTCCCACAGGCCCCTCCCACAATCGCTGCCTAGTCAGTGTAGACGCCAAATACTGGCTAGCTGGAAAAGAAAGGCTGGATACGCCTACAAAAAAATGTCCAAACTCGAAAACTACAACGTTCGATTCTCCGCAGGTGACATCAGATGCCGTTGACCTTGGTACTCTCCGTGGAATTTCAAACTTAAATGTCAAACCTATCGACCATAACAGTAGATGACATGAGTGCAATGTAATCACGAATCACTACCAGATAACAAATCCTGAATAATTCATCCACAGCACGAATCATCTTACGGTCCATCCGTTCATCTAACCATCCCTTCCGTCTGCATAAAGGTAGTCTGACGTCAACACGAGTCGGACATCTTCTATAATCTGTTACGTCTCCGTGAAATAAGCAACCGCGTCGCACACGCCTATGATTTCCTCCTATCTCTGCACTTCCTACTACGCAACATTCGTCCTTGCGTCCTTGTCCACGCGCGCACGCATCGCGTCTCTTCAAGAGGGCGGCATTTATATCGACGTACGGTCGAATTCAACGTCGTAATTTCATGCCATCTCGTGTGTGTTTTTTTTCGCTATCTAGGTCAAGTCGCATTCGAATGCGTTCCGGAGGGAGCGATAACGTTCGAAAAGTACACGAACAAGCGCTTCGCCGGCACCGTAACGCAGACGAGTGAAGACGTCACCGTCGAGGACTGTATCTCGCAATGTCGAGCCGACGCCGCCTGCTTCTCGATCAACTTCGCTCTGGGATTCCTGCCGACGCTTGGCCAATGCGAGCTGATGTCGGATGCCGGCAGCCGCGGGCAGCTGAGGGAGGTCGCTCTGCCCGGATCCGACGCCGCTTATTACATAGCGAAGATATGCGTGAGAGGTGAGGAGGAGGGGTGGGTCAGAGGAGGAGGAGGAGGAGGCTATTACATAGCGTAGATATGCGTGAGAGGTGAGAGAGGGAGTGGGTCAGAGGAGGAGGAGGAGGAGGAGGAGGAGGAGGAGGAGGAGGAGGAAGAAGAGGAGGTTATTACATAGCGTATAATATTATATGCATTAAAGGTGAGAGAGGGGTGGGTTGACGTTGCAGACGTGCCGGTTATTACATAGCGAAGATATGCGTGAGAGGTAAGGAGGAGAGGGTGGGTCGGAAGAGGAGGAGGAGGAGGAGGAGGAGGAGGAGGAGGAGGAGGAGAAGGAGGAGGTTATTACATAGCGAAGATATGCGTGAGGGGTGAGAGAGGGAGTGGGGTCGGAGGAGGATGCTATTACATAGCGAAGAAAGATGTGCGTAGGAGATGAGGGGAGGAAGATCGACGCGAGAGGTGAGGGAGGGGGATCGACGTTGCAGACGTGCCGCCTCTAAGAGAAGGCTATTACAATAAGAGTATTGTTAGCAGAACCAGCTCGGGCAAGACAAAAGGCGCGGCCTGCCGTACGCGTTCGTTTGAATAATCGTTTGCATAACGCGCGCGGTTCATCTGACGATCCAATTTACGCGCACCAGTGGGCATCTCTCGCCGAATTAAACACACACCGCGCCCAGCTAGTAAATAGTGAGCATTAAGCGCAGACCTCCTACCTCACGCACGCCGCCGTCCTCGGGATTACGTTTGAGATAACAATCGCTACGTAATACAACCAAACCGCAATTTTTTCGACGTAAATGTATAACGATGAAGATCGTACGATTTGGCCTGGTTCGCGTTTGTCGTAAACCGGCAAACTTTCCTCGTGTTCTTTCTTCGAGCTTCTGATCGCATGTGTGAAGAAGAGGCCTGGACGCGGCCTCTACGCGGGGCACACCTCCACTGTACTACCCCACGCGGGTCAACATGCATATTCTTGGTTGCCATATTGTGCAAGTTTTTTGGTGATAAAATTCTATACAAAGCTCGCGATGAACGACTAGTTTCGACTTGTGGTAGTCTTCGTCTTCTTCTTCTTCTAACAGCTTTTAACTAGCAACTCGCAACTTTTGTCCAAAAACTTTCTCATCGGGTTCTCTCCTCCTTCTACTATATCTTCTATTATCTTTTTTCCAGCTTCTGACGTCTGCGGCAGGCCGTGGACGTTCGACATCGTCCTGAGGCAGCAACTGGACGTCGTCGACAAGACGGTGAACGCCATCAGCCGCATGGGCTGCTTGGAGGCGTGCCTGGAAGAGTCAGACTTCACGTGTCGATCGGCTTCGTACAACAACCCTGCGCAGGAGTGCACGCTGTCGCGTTACGACCGACTGTCGCGGCCAGAGGTCTTCAAGGGCAGCGACGACATCGACTACATAGAGAATCACTGCCTCGCTAGTGAGTGACTTGATGAGTATATACGCTCGCGCGACAGGCGGTGATATACTCTTGTGAGTGCTGTGTGTGTTGGGTGTGTGAGTGTGTGCGAGTGAGTGTGTGTGTGTGTGTGTGTGTGTGTGTGCGTGCGTGCGTGCGTGCGTGCGTGTGTGTGTGTGCGTGCGTGCGTGTGCGTGTGTGTGTGCATGTGTGTGCGCGCTGGTGTGTGCGCGCGTGTGTGTGCGTGTGTGTGTTTGCGTGCGTGAATGCGTGCGTGCGCGTGTGTGTGTGCGTGCGTGTATGCGTGCGTGCGCGTGTGTGAGCGTGCGCGTGCGCGTGCGCGTGCGTGCGCGTATGCGGGCATTATAACTCATCCTTCCCTGTCGGCCTAAGCGCTAGCTACTATAGTTGCTATAGTTCACATCTAAATGTAGTAGTATGTGTCTGTAAGTGTAATTGGTTTCCCGTCGAGTAAACTTGGGCTGACAACATTGAACCTCGCTTCTTTGTGCGTCGCAGCAGCGGGCGCCCGTACCGACTCGTCGGAAACGAGCCATCAAAAAGTAATTAAGAACATATTAAAATGACATCAGCCGGTGGGGGGTGGAGTTGGACACAAGGCCTTCCTTTACCATGCTGACGAGATAGGTATGTGGGGCATAAGAACCCTTTCATCGAGCGAGATACTAGCTTGTGTGCGAGGAGTCTTTATCTGCGTGGACGCGACGAAGGTAGCTCCGGCCCAGTAGCAGAACTAAACAATGAAGTGAATTTAGATAAGCATATAATAATTATTATTATATAATAATTATATGGGCTAATGGCCAATTTAACCCAGGTTTGCCCATAAATAAAGTTTGTCCTTATTCGGACTCGTCGAAATTCGTCAAATGATCGTTTTGTTTCATATAAATAATGAACATACAGTTTTTCCTCATTTAAATGGCGTATGTATATGACATTTAAATGGTTTTTGTAAAGATTCTCAAACGAGCAACCTACCAAGATGCCCCATACGTGCAAATTAGCACTCATCCAACAGAATATAAATCGCACGCACGCACTCACACACCTACACATGTACGCACTCTCACATCGCACGCACTCGCACACTCGCACATGCACGCATATACCCGCACAAAGGTGTACGCACGCACAAACGCGCTCATGCACATTCCTACAACATACGACATACCGCCAAGCAAGGATAAGGATGTACTAATTATCCCGCAGTGGTTCTGCCTCTGGGGAGCTATAAATTTTGCCTGTACCTGTGACCTCCAGCGCAGTAGGGAACATGGTCCCAAGAGGGGATTGTACTCGAATTTACCGATACACTACTTCTCTAGGCAAAGATGGCCATGAGGAAAACAAACAGAAGGAAAAGGTCATGTCGTAAAATCGCTACTAAAACCTCAACCTCGTACACACGTCGCTCGCAAGTATAGCAGCCTACGAAATAATGGTGTCCATTATGCTATGCCGATGCCCACACGTATATTTATTCACGATTGGCTATGTATGCGAAGTAACACGTAGTATCGGGTTGTTAGTATCCACCGGCAGTCGTTCACCTCATGCACCTTCTCCGCGCGTAATACCTCCCTCTCTCTTCCCAAACACGTTAACTCTTTGTGCGCGCACGTGCGCCGAACAGACGAAAGGAACGCGGCGCCCACCCGCTGCTGCTGCTGATCACGCTTTTAGTAGACCAGTTTACCTGCTTCCACCGCGACGGGGTTCCTATAACGTGGTATTGGGAGAGGGATGGGCAATATACCACGTATGCGTGCACGCTGCGCATTCGCGAGGTCACGCGTGTGACATTATTTTTTTATTATATAAATATATACATGCATATTACATACAAAAGTAGTCGAGTCATTGGACTAGGCGTCTTTGAAATCCAAGAATTTTAAGTATTGTTTTGCCCAGGTTATTTTGTAAAGAGTTAAAGACACCTATATATAATTGGTTTAGTTTTGTGTACTTTATATCATACTATCGTACATTCACTCAATATTACTGCGAGTGCGCACTTACGCGAATACGTGCGTACGTGCATTTGTTGTAAACGTTTTATATACGGGCTAACATGCTTGATTAAGCTTTGCTTATTTTAAAACTGGATTCGAATACATAATTCGTCGTGTTTCTTATTGTTTTTTGGAGCGCTCTGAAACAGAAAATATTTATAAAAGAGCAAAACTAAAAAAATATAATGTGCAAGTGTGTATGAGCGCGATTGTATACGTATGTGTATATATACGTATACATCAAGATATATTTTGATGAGAAAAATCGGTTAAAAATGCGGGAATCGGGTGTCTCACTCTTTGTTATTATCTACTCTTGGTATACATGCATGCTGTTGTCGATTTCAGCCGATAACCTGTGTGAGTTCCACGCGACGTTCGAACGTTCGGCTCACAGCTTCATGATCTCCTTTACGGACAAAATCATCAACGACGTTCCATCGCTCAAGGCCTGCCAGAACCGCTGCCAGAACGAGCAGGCGTTCATATGTCGCTCCTTCAACTGGATAGCGCCCAGGGGAATCTGCCAGCTCTATCACAACACGAAGGCCACCGTGCCGGCATACTTTCGCACCGTGCCATCGCTGAACTCGCAGGTCGAATTCAGAGAGATTGTGTGTCTGGAAAGTAAGTATGTGTGTGTGTGTGTGTGTGTGTGTGTGTGTGTGTGTGTGTGTGTGCTGTGGCGGGCGCATGCGCACAAGACGTAATCCTATATGAGAACTAGAAAGGAGCAGGTTGTCCACCACTACATGTATCCCCCGTGACTAGTATATGAATAGAATATCTCTGTAAAAACGTAGAAGGCAGTGTGTGTTGTGTGGTGTGTGTGTGTGTTGCTGTTGTGTGTGTGCGCGCGATGTGTGCTGTGTGTGCGCGCGCTAGCGTGTGTGCGTGCGGCGCTGCGTGTGGTGTGTGTGTGTGCGTGTGTGCTGTGCGTGTGTGTGTGCGTGCGTGCATGCGTGTGTGTGCGCGTCTGTTTGTCGGCTCTTGCCATTAGGCTGATTTACTACGAACATAATTTCTGACTATACTAAGCGAATTGCGAGGCGTGGGTTTTGTGCAGCGCTGGGAGAGCGAGCAATCATCGTTAGGGATAGGAAGAGGGGGGGGCTCATCTTTAGGGGACAAGTTAATAGATTAACTATAGGTGTGGTCGTACAAGACAGAACTACTTTAGGCTGGGGATTTGCAAGACAAATTTAGAGTAAGAATGTGAACGCATTCAGCGATAGAAATATGGTAACATACCGCGGTAGAATGTATAGCCGTTACTATTTCTCCCCAATATACACTCTTACAGGATGTAATCACTTTTAGCCTGTTGCGTTATCTCGGTTGCTTAGGATAGGAATGTATATGCATTGCCATAGTTATTCCACTATTCCACTATTCCACTATTAGGTAATCACACGACAACGGTGCATGTCAGGACGACATGTACATGTTGTATGGCCTGACTGTTGACTAATAACCTACACGACGGTCTTCAGTGCAATAAAGGATCGTTTCCTGAAGCTATCCCCATGTCGTGATATATTGGGCTATGAGCGAGATTAATACTCTGCTACCATCGCATATCGCGCGTACATACCGCCGACTCTACAAAGACCTTAAATGCTTTATCCATTATCTGCATGGGTTCTGCCAGCTCGGCTATTCATTCTGCTGTCGTGACCACCCACCCCAAGGCGCAGCTAGGCCATCAGTATTGTCTGTGCTCTAGCATAGCCTTGAAACGTTCCGCAAATAACCAAGAATGTTGAAAAATGCAGAATGATCTGCGTATATGCGTAATAAACGACGATGTGTTACCTGCGGCCCCCTAATTTTCGCTGTGCTAACAAAAACTTGAAAAATCGAAAGCGTTAAGGTCGTCGTGCTTAAGATTGAGCTAAAATAGATTGGGTAGCTGTGTTAGTGGTAGCATTGTATTTCACCTGGTCAGGTGTTCATGTCGTATTTGAATATTTTAGCGTTATAGAGACGCCTCATTCTATATCAACGTGTGCCAACATGGAAGCGTCGGTGTTAGAAAATAAGACCCAGTTTCGCGAAACCAGTTTTTGTCCTATTTCCTACTTTAGTTACATCGCTATTTACTTAGGTTACATCGCTGTTGACTCACGAGATAAATCACAACATTTCGCCGACATAGCCCAAATGATATTTAAATATTGAAGACTCATCCTATGCGTTTCGGCCTTTCAAGGTTACCTCCAAATATCCCGAAAAACACATGTCTGTGTTTGAATAAGAAAACAGCGCAGAACAGCCCCTATAATAGCAATGTTATGACTAATGGAACGCACAATGAAAATTATAATGATTCTATTTTTACTAATAACCACCTGGGTTTTTTGCCGCCGGTTAACGCGATAGTCGCAGCTGCCGATTCGTTTTCGGTTTTTCGCCGACTTCAACTAAAATTTGACTTTAATTTGACTGTAATTGAATTTGACGTTTAATTAAACACATCTAGAAAGCAAACGAAATAATTATGAATCATACGAACTCGTCATGTTGGTGGTGGCGGCGGTTGTAAAGGTGGTGGATTCCTGCGTGCTAAACATCCATCTTGCTTTCCATCTGTCGACGTAAAACGTAAAATACGGCGTAAAACCCTAAATGACCAAAATTCCACCGGACACGTATACAGAGCTAGGAGTCCTCCCGACATGTATATAGAGCTAAAAGTCTTCCCGGCCATATATCAGAGTATTGCCTGTATTTGACTGACGAGGTGCTTTCACTTACAGGTTCACGCGCGTGTGATCGACCATTCGTCTTCGAACGAGTCGACAAAGCCAGACTGGCCGGCAACGACGAGAAACTACTCACGGGTATGACCGTACCGATGTGCCAGGACGCGTGTCTCAACGAACGCGAGTTCGTCTGCCAGTCGTTCGATATCGACCCGGACAGCGGCGACTGCTATCTGAGCCCTGAGTCGAGACACAGTCTGAGACAGCCCGTAGAGGACGACGCAACGTATGACTACTACGAGAACAACTGCGTCCCGCGAGGTGGGTCTCACGCGGCACGAGATTTTATTTACGGGTTATAACATTCTTGATTAAGCTTTATGCGACACGAGATGTGTATCTGTAAATTTTATATACGTAATTTATATTTATTATATTATTATTATTATTATATTATATTATAATATATTGTATTATGTATTATTATTATATTTATATACGTAAATTAACGATAATTTTATATCTGTAAATTTTATATACTTTATTAAATTGACTACGTCACGAATTTTCTATGGTAAAATTTGTAAAATGTTTGTTGCCATTTTTTTACATTAAAAGTAAGAACTAACAGGACTACGTATCGTCAAATTCTTACCTGATAAGATTAAAAATCCAAAAAACCTGGACGATTTGATATTAGTGTTCCTAACATTAATTGCTTGCTATGGGCTATGTATGAGTCACGAGTGTATGTTCACATCGAACAATATAGTAAAATAAGAAATATAATGCAGCAATTTAACCATAAAAAGTGAACAGAATTACTTATATTTTGTGAATATGTATATATTTTTTTTTTTTACTATTGACGGTGACGTAATCACGACGCGAGATGTGTCGTGCGCACGCGTATACGTTGTAAACGTTGTATATTTACGAATTAACGTGCTCGATTAAGCTTTGCTTTGTTTAGAACTAGATTCAATTACGTAATTCTTCATATTTTTTATGGTTTGGGGGGCAGAACATAAAACATAAAATATTTATGAAATAGCAAATCTAAATGAAGGAAATCGTCACTGCGCAGTGACTTGCAATCAGTACTTCATGCGAACAGACGAACAGAGAAAGGGAATCTCGACTTTCACTTTTCAACGTTTAACAACGAGTTTTGTTCGCCCTCCTTTTGCGCAGGTCCTACAAACTGCCAATACGAGTCGGAGCCCGGTCGGCTTCTTCGTTTCTACAACGACCTTATCTTGGAGGATGTAGATTTAGAGGAATGCCGGACAAGATGCAGCGTAAGTATCGGATCAGTTTTCCACCACAAGATGTGCGATCATTGTCTCGTACATGATCGCACAATTTACACTTATATATTTTCACCCGGGGTCTTTAACAACTTCGTAAAGCGTAATAAGGGTGATGGAAAACGTATATAGTATCGTTCAGTTAATTTCTTTTGTCACTCGGCCATAACTCGAAAAACCCGCGAAAGTTCAGGAAAGCTCAAAGAAACCCCTTTTCGGTTCATGAATTGTTGAAGTAGTCAGGAGGTAAATGACCTCAATCGAATGCCAGCACTGCTAACACGATAGTGACTTTTGAACATTGCAGCGTCAGTGAAGGTGAGGTTCGGTCATGCGTGTGTTACAGGATAAAACTTTTACTGAACAGCAGCCAGAGTGACCACAGACATGCGTCCGCCGTATCTATGTAATCTGTATTTTTGCACAAATTCACGTACAGGTTGAGACCGCTTTCATCTGCCGCTCCTTTGAGTATATGAGTGGTACTCGAGCCTGCTTCCTTAGCACGGACAACCGTATCTCAGAAGGAGCCTACATCGCTCGAAGCACTGACGTCGAGTACTTTGAGAAGACCGTCTGTACTGAGGAGGCTGGAAGTAAGCTTTGTTATATCGCTCTATCCATAGTATCAAGAGTGTCATATTATCATAGTATTCTATCATTCTATATATAATATATATATATATATATATATATATATATATCAAAAGTACATAATAGAGATCTCTATTATGTACTCTTGTATATATAATTATTTGTATATAAGTTATATATCTTCATTAGATTCTGTCGTAATATGGATCTATATTATTAACACTCCTGGCATATATAGATGCATCTATAGGCTACCGTAGTTTATACGCGTGATTAGTAATTCGCTATAAGTGAATAGATAGTGTATTACTCATATATAAAAATATGGGCAATAGCGTGTTCATTCGCTAGCATCATGCGGATAGCCAACTTACATCTAAAACACATTTTTATTCGAGTCGGTTTTAAATTGTCTATAAAATCGTCCCATTGTTTAATATTTTATCCGGTTACGAGATAATGCGACGAATGTTTGGCAATCCTCTTTTTTGTGAGTTATTACTGCTGTTGTCCATCGACCTCGCAATCTCTATAGTAAAACTTTCGCGATGCGACGGAGGCGCGCGACCCTGCGGACATGCTTTTTTTTATCTCTTTTTTTCTCCTTTATCTCAGTTTTCACGAATTGCCGCGATGGCGCCATTGTATTCGGCCAAGTCGCCGACCAGCCATTCCACGGGCAAGCTGTACGCAAAGGGCGCAGCAAGACCTGCTTCAAACAGATCGAGAAACGAACTGCGATTCGAAATGGAGATCCCGCTGAACAGCCCGAGTGCAACACAGTGCAGAAGGTATAGGCGAGTGTGGGAGAAAATTCCGTATTGTCGAGTCTGCGCCGTCTTAATCCCCGCGTGTATATTTCAACTCGCGCGCGTCGCGAGGAATGTCAAAACGCAGTGTGTAACACTAACTGGAAAACAGCGCAGTTGCTGAAAATTCACACACCTGTCACATTCTCTTGTCCCGCGAATATCTACTTACTACACACACGCGCGCGCCGCACGCACGCACGCAGGCCACGCACGCACACCACACAGACAGCTAGTATATTTGCCGTCAATTAATAATTTATTGATCATTGACTTGACCTTATATATTCAGGAATGTCGGCGTATTTGTCAACACGGTTGTCGTGCAGCATCACCCATGCTGGTGCAAAGCAGGACCAAAGCTTACAGAGTTGCGTGCCGCTACAAACTCTTGAGAAGACGATAAGCAACGGGCCAGTGAATGTCAGGTATTCATTATTTCTTCTTCTTCTTCTTCTTTTTCTTCTTCTTCATTCTTCTTCTCTTCTTTCATTATTATTATTAATATATATAATAATAATAATAATAATAAATAATAATAATAATAATAAAATGAATAAAATAAGAAGAAGAAGAAGAAGAATTATTATGATTATTATTAGCTCATCTGACGTAGTCAGATGCAGCTTTAGAATCGCATGATGCGTGCGTGCGTCCGTCCGTGCGTCCGTCGTCCGTCCGTCCGTCGTCAACAGTTGGGCACAAATCTTAACCGCTCGACGTACGGTCAGATATTCGGGACGTCGGGGGGATCGTGAAAGAGGACTCAAGATGCAAATTTGGGGGTCAAGGTGTCAAAGGTCAAGATGTGTAAACGGAGGGAAATATTTCCCCTTAACTTAAGGTAATGAGGAAATACGGAATGCGCGCACAAATCTTAACGGTTCGACCTATGCTCTTAATTTTCGGTGTATAGTGTGATGGCAGGAAACCCATCACCAGTGCGAAATTGGAGGTCACAGTCAAAGGCGCAGTGGGGAAAAGGTCAGATATCAGACTTTTCTGAGGACATGGCCTAATGGACAGAGTGAAAAACTTTTTTGTTTCAACGCTGACCTACCATTTTTATCACTTTATTGAAAGAACATGAAATGTGCTTACTACTGCGTGCGAAGAGTTAAAGTGTCTGATAACCTTTTGAACCCTCAAGAGGAGGGTTAAATATGGATTCCTGAACTGCCTCATGACGTCACAGTGTTATCATATTCATGCACATCCATAATCTAGAAACCAAATAAAGCCTGGATAGCCGAACGCGTCAGCACAGGCGTCACGGATCAAAGGTCGTTTGGATCGAACCCATCTGATTGTTTATTATTTACCTGTTTTCTGTATTTTTCTATCTTTATCCATTTAACTATTTTTTTCCCATTTAACGCAAATATTTACAGATTTATTTAGCAACAATTTAATAACAACAAATATTTTTACAACAAATTAATTTTTTTTTTAATAGGGTTAGGGTTAGGGTTAGGTCACAATGCACCATAAAACAGGAGTTTCAGGCACGCGATTTTGTTTCAACCAATGGGATTTGGAGGTATGCAGAATGCAGAAGGTTGCTGAAACTGATGTGCTACGCAACTGCGTATCTGCATATCTGCGCCTAACAAAGGTGTCACTACGCACCCTAAATGTTACGTTACGTTAGGCCTGTGATGTCGCAAATAATAGAACGATTGGCCGCATCCGCGCAACCCATGTGCATTGGTTTGAATGCTCACCTTGATCGTGAGTTGTGATGTTGGTAATG